ACAACCACAACAACACCTTTGCCGCCACCACCGCCACTGCAATACCCACGACGACTACGACTACTACGATGGCTACTGCTACTGCTACTGCTAATGCTACTGCTACTGCTACTGCTACTGTTGCTGCTACTGCTGCTACTGCTACTGCCACTGCTGCTGCTGCTGCTGCTACTGCCACTGCTACTGCTACTGCTACTGCTACTACTCCCACTTGTTATAGCCATGTACTCTTAGGCCAGGAGGGTAGCGAGTTGCGACCGCAGGCCGCAGAGGCCCAGTTCACGTAGCTTGGCTGCGTGAGTCAATCCTTAGACAACAGCCGACGGATGCACAGCTTTTTTGGTGGTTGCCAACACACAGACTTCAAAACCCACACCTTGCCAAGTTGAGAGCGGGAAGCTTTCGGAAACTCCTCAGATCTCGTTATCTTCACTTTAGAACCGGGGCCCATCCAGTCGGTCGGGCATTGGTCGATGGTCAGGACAGTTTGTCGTTAGTTGCACACTGACAGTTTTGAGTTGCCGAGCCTTATTTCGCTCCACAATTCCGCTTTTTGCAGGGCTTCGCCTACCTGATGTTTGTTGGTATCGCCAGTCCGTCTTTTCCTGTCTGATTGAAATTCCACCTTCGAGGCCTATGGAGTTGTTCCTTTGTTTTGTTGTTTTGTTGGGTGTTGTTCATAGTATTTTGCTTACTGCATCGAACAACCTACTGTCCCTACTTTTCTGCTTTCGCTGGATCTGCATTTTCGTCGCAAAAACTATGTCAGCATGTCTTTTGATTTATCCGAGACAGTGTTGGCAGTTGAGCCAACTCTTGTTACATGTATCCGCATCATGTTTGTGGTGATTTTGGTATTTCGGAGTAGAGTCGTACAGTGCAAATGTGCCAAAAAGTGTTGAAATCCCACTTGCTCATTCCAGAATTTTGAGAGAGACAAACAGCGGTCTACTCACAAAATAACTGCCTGCCCGACCGGCAGCGCGATTTAGGGTCCATTCTTGTGTATTTGTGCATTCCAGTCTTTTATGTGGGAGAAGGTTCAGGCTTTAGGATTTAGTGACTGTTGAAGCGGAGACTGCCATTTCTGGACAAACTTTCCTTCATCATTAGAGAGGCCTCAAATCTTTGGGCTCCGATGCGATGAGGTGTCAGCTCACCTTCCTGTAAGGGTTGCGCAAGAATGCAAAACAAGGGGCGTTGGGTTCCGGATTTTGTGTTGTGCTAGGCTTTACACCTTGAGCTTTCAACCCCAAACCGT